TTGATTTAAAAGATGTTTAATTAAAAAATTAGATTAAACAATTTTTTAAAAGTATTCTTTCACCGAAATAGATACTACTATATTAAGTTAGGAAATATTCATATAATTTAGATACAGATTGCTATATTTTTAGCTATTAGATTAAATGCATGCCAAAAAAAATTACTGATCTTATGTTTCCTTTTATTAGATGAGTTTTACTTTAAATTCATTCAAAATAATATGTCGTTAAATAGCTATCAACATTATTTGCCTTCGTATATGATCAGTCAATCAAAGCTAGTTTCGTTTAAAGAGCCGAGCGGATGATCGTAAATGACGACGTAGGAAATAGTTTAATACCTTTTTCTTGGTGGTACAACATCTGAAAAACAATAGACTGCAGATCTAATACGGCATTTGGTTTTGAATATGATTATATAATTTGAGTTCTGGCTTAAACTTATACAGATTTATTTCGAAAAATATATTTCGCTTGGGAGGAGTAATTATAGAATTCTACTTTGTTGGTTTTTCTTTTTTTTTCAGCTATTTCCAGCAAAAAGTGCATCATCCGATTCAAATTTACGAAGTCATTTAGGACATATTCATAAACTTAAAGAGTTTCTTTATCCTTCTCAGCGAAATCCAAAACCATTAAAAGAACAAAAAGTATCTTTTCAACATAAAAACAATCTAGATTCAGCTGCTATTAATGCAATTATACAAGATTCTCATATCTTTAATCTCTTTCGAAAACCTGGCATGAAAAAGTTTCTGTCATTGGCTACACCTGGTTATCGTGGTCCAAATAGACGAACGGTTGTTAAACGTTTAAAATCTATGTATAAACAACGTCGATCATCAATTCGACAAGAATTATCTATTGTTTCCGATATTGCTTTATCAGTCGATCTTTGGCAAAGTGTTCGTCGTGCCCATTTCATATGTTTATCTGCTCATTATTATGATAAACACTACAAACCACATTTTAGTATTATTGTATTTCGAAGATTCATTGGCACTCATTCTGGTGATCGACTTGAAGATTTTATAATTAATGAAATGGAAAAGCTTGGTATACAATCAAAAATATGTTCTTTAACAACAGATAATGGAAGTGATATACGATTAGCATCACAAAACAAATCAAAATTTGGAATAAGAATTTCCTGTTTCTTACACATTTTAAACTTGGTTGTTCGTAATGGACTTTGGTTCTTTGATATACCAGTAAAAAAAAGGTAGGAGATCGTTTATTTACAGAAAATATGCAGGCAGAGACATGAGATAATAGGAAAAATGGATAATGATATTAGAATCATTTTTTTTGCATAATATAAATAATCAAAAAAATTTTATACCATCATGATTTTTGACGCTAATAGATTTTTAAACAAGTTTAGAATTTTGTTGCGCATCAGTAAAAAATTAGTCTTATTGAGTGGTGCTATATTTAGACATTTACATCAATTGCATTACAAGATGCAGATAAATATCGATATTTTTGCTAGCCGAATGTGTTTTACGTCTATAATTGATTCAAATCTTTCATATAGTGTTACCGCAACTAAACTTGCGTTTCGTCTATAGAGAAAATGGCATAGTAGAAGGTTCATAAGAACCTTTATTTAATAATCTACGTATAAAATAATAGTTTTTCAAATTTATTCATTTTTTTTATGTCTGTCAAAGAAGAAACAGATAATTAAATGACAAAAATTTGTTTAATATTAGTTCTGTCTAAACATAATCGAATCATATTAAACTGAATTAAAATATGAAATTTTCTTCAGGATGCAAGAAAAGATCATTGAAATCAATAAAATCTATATACGAGAGAGTTTTAACACCAAAACTGCTTATTTCATAGTTGATTTATTCAAATAGCTTTCGTTTTATCATATTAGGATCTTCATAAATGTCTCAAAACTTTTCTTCTATTCAATTCACCAAATTTTAATACAAAGCTAAAAGAGACTTTCATGAAGCAGTCTATTGAGCGTTAATTTATTCACTTACGGTTAGTGAATGAACGGGTGCCTTGAAGAAATGAGAGAAAACAGAGAATAATTGGATGAATGAATATTTA